TTTGTTATTTTCTTAAGTCTTCTATTCATTATCCCTTCGTCGTTGTATTTTTTCATTTGGTATATTTTTATGAATTTTTTCGTATTTAAACATTTCTAAATTATATTAAATTAGATATTCTTTGTTATTTTCTTAAGTCTTCTATTCACTATCCCTTCGTCGTTGTATTTTTTCATTTGATATTTTTTTATGAATTTTTTCGTATTTAAACATTTATAAATTATATTAAATTAGGTATTCTTTGTTATTTTCATAAATCTTTTATTTATTATGCCTTCGTCGTTGTATTTTTTCATTTAGTATTTTTTTATGAATGATTCGAGCGAAGGAAAAGTTTAGTAAAAAAAATATTTCTAATTTTTTCGTATTTAAACATTTCTAAATTATATTAAATTAGATATTCTTTGTTATTTTCTTAAGTCTTCTATTCATTATCCCTTCGTCGTTGTATTTTTTCATTTGGTATTTTTTTATGAATGATTCAAGTGAAGGAAGTTTAGTAAAAAAAATATCTCTAATTTTTTCGTACATTCAAAAACATTTCTAAATTATATTAGATTAGGTATTCTTTGTTATTTTCATAAATCTCTTATTTATTATACCTTCATTGATATATTTTTTCATTTGGTATTTTTTTATGAATAATTCGAGCGAAGGAAAAGTTTAATAAAAAAATACTTCTAATTTTTTCGTACATTCAATCATTTCTAAATTGTATTAGATTAGATATTCTTTGTTATTTTCTTAAATCTTCTATTCATTATCCTTTCGTCGTTGTATTTTTCCATTTGATATTTTTTGAATGATTCGAGCAAAGAAAAGTTTAGCTAATACGACATGGAAAGTCGATCCGCTTTCGAAAAACGACAAACGTTTTGACTCGAGCACAATAGATCCATTTCACCAAGACTTTCACACGCTATGTTCTTTGTCGCGTCTGTAAGGCGTGGTTCAATGTCGCAGGTAGATTCTTTCTGCGGAACTCACCCTTTCAAGTCGATTATCGATTGTCCTGTTTCGTTTTTTTTTTTTAAAAAAAAGATTTAAAGACTTCTCGATTCATTAAATATACAGGATACGAAATAGCTCGAACAGCTCGAAGCTTTGAATCCAAAACACATATTTTTCAACTTAAACATTTGCGAATTCTGAAATAGAAATTACCATTCTCTTCGTAACAATATCACAACCTATTTAAAATCGTTTCAAAGAATTCTAATTTCGCGTTAAAAAATCGTGTATCAATATATTCTCTAAATTGCATCACTGGGATCGGAAAATTGACCAATCGTCCGTTCCACGCTGAGTATAAAACACTCTGAACTTTAAAGTAAGCCGATCCTCTCTACAAATAAATTATTCCTATATACGAAGTGTCGGCGTACATTCACCAAACTCAATGAAAATTCGTGTCCATTCCCAAGCCAGCTCTCCAGACGCAGTTCAGCTGCAGCTGGATTCTCTTGGGGTTCTCTAAAACACGATTCCTCGACAAAGATCTCGTCCGGTCGCAGGAGGGCCGAGCAATAAAATAATTTACGCGGCGATGCGTTGGGGAAGTCAAACGAAGTCAAAAGTGAAGGAAAGATAATTACCGCGTAATGTTGCACTTTCTCCTCCTCGGAGCGTTGGTGTGTACGCGCGGTCATTTACACGCGTGTAAAACGTTGATGCTTGGAAGCAGCTTACTTCAAAGATATTAATGTCGTGCTACGTAATACGCGTAATAAGCGGCGGGGCCACGTGGACGGGCGGCATGATTTAAATCCAGTGATTAGAACGAACAGAAAACAAGCTTGAGATACGTATTTTACCTGATTTCCGCTCTTTTCTCGTTTAACCCGTACAGAATTTTAATTTTCTTCGATGATGTACATATATATTTGGATATCGAAATAATTCTTTCTCAATGTTTTGGAAATGATTTAATTCACATTCTCAAAGATAATTAAAAATTGTTATCAGAAAAATTAGAATCTTTATATTCTAACTAATTTTTATCTGTTAATTTTATTTTTTTTTTATAAAAATTCCTCCACCAAAGAGATTTGTGTAATTGTTTATAATTCAATGATCAATCGAAAATCAAAGGAAAATGATTAGAAATTATTTTATCAGATCATTTCAGTGTCAGAATTTAATAAGAAAGAATAAACGTATAAGTTTCGTCTCTTCTTCTCTTTCTCACAGATTCATTGGAATCCGTGATACGCACGAGCATAACATAAATCCTGCAATTTCCCGCGTATATCACCCGCGTCGAAATTTACAGCCCAAGTTATTGCCCCGGACGACCATTCGCCGAATTTTTCCACCCTTTATTTATACCCGATCCTCTTACTATACACGTCCACAAGACGCGATCGAGAAATATAGTGCAGATCGTGTTACTCTCAGCCACTTCGTCCACCACACGCAACTATAAAAGTCCCGATGATATATTCCACTGTACAAGTGCGTTTTAACGATTCGTCAAGCCTTGGATCAAAATATTCGATATATCAAACGATACAACGAAATAAAAAATTCGCAAATGTTTCTTAAAGATTCATCGGATCGAGAACATTTAGAATACAAATTCTAATTCATAAATATATATTTCAAACTGCGTATATTAAAAGTATATTCGACACAAATTTCAATGATTCATCAAATTCGTAACAAAATTCATAAACATGTATAATAAAAGTGTCGAGAAAAGTAATCGCAATTTTTAAAATACTCGTCAAAGAAGAAACAAAGAAAGATGCAGAAATTCGTATTTTCGAGGAATTATCCACGCTTAAGTCCTTGAAAGAGGCGCAGGATCACGGTCGAGGATTTTCATGGCGCGTAATAATTAAAATTCGCAAATGTATCTTAAGGATTCATCGAATCTCGGATCGAGAACATTTAGAATACAAATTCTAATTCATAAATATATATTTCAAAGTACGTATATTAAAAGTACGTATATTCGACATAAATTTCAATGATTCATCAAATTCGTAACAAAATTCATAAACGTAAAAGTGTCGAGAAAAGTAATCGCAATTTTTAAAATACTCGTCAAAGGAGAAACAAAGAAAAATGCAGAAATTCGTATTTTCGAGGAATTATCCACGCTTAAGTCCTTGAAAGAGGCGCAGGATCACGGTCGAGGATTTTCATGGTGCGTAATGGTTAAAAGGCGGTCGATTTCGTTTCGTGAGCCACCGAGAAGAGTCGGTTGCCAGGCTGGGCTCATTTTGATTGATCGGGCAATATAGCCTGCTCGCCCCCCGCGGTTCGTGCATTACCCGTCGCGACGTGGAAAAATTACCGGATTGAGATGCACCCATTAATAATCCTCGCGTATACTCCTCGTCGCTTCGATCGTACGCGTGTAATTACTCGCGAAACGTGGAACCCCAATTTCGTGGATTTCCGGGGAAGAACGATTCCCTCGGATTGTTCCATCAACGACGACCAAGATCGAAGAGGAGTGAGAGTTACAAGTTCGAGCAGACTTGTCCTGCGCTTTGATTTATATTAGGGATGATTGGACTTCAGTTAAGTGAACGCTTTGAGGTTTTTACCAATTTTATTTTAGAATATTTTTAGAACAATATTCCTTCAAATTTTTTTAAATTTGAAGACTCTTAAGGAAAAAGATATTACAGTTTTAATAAAAATAAATACGAGTCCTCCAACATTGAGACGCGATTGATCCAAGAGGATGTTCTTTAAATAGACAACCGGAGGATTGTGATTCACCGTTCTTTGCGCGTATTTCGGGAAGAGGAGAAGCTCGTGAAACTCGATATCCGTTTATCAAGGATCCACTCTGCCCCGTTCAGGTTGAATTGCTCCCGGTTCCTTGTCGCCGATCGAAAAGCGTAAAGCAGCCCACGAGGAGCCCTGCTACACGAAGCCCGTGTCCGTGAACGCGGATAGTTTTATGGCGGCCCTCTGCCACCCCGGTAATGCGTTTGGCTAAGAACTCCCGTGCGAGGAGAGAGAGACGAGGAAGGTGGAGGAGGAGGAGCGGCAGCCGAGGCGTATCGTGAGCAAGAAGGAGAAGGAAACACGAACGGTCTTAATATCCTTTGATTTATCTGAGGGCTGGGTCAGTCGCGGGCTTCTTTCTCTCCGTTTCTTTCCCTCCCCTTTGGCCCAGTCACCCACCCCCGGTGCAAACCGCAACGCATGGGCGGGCCAATAAGTTTTTAAATAACCATAACTCGTGGTTTTATGGGCGAAACGGCGCGCGATGGCCCACGGCATCGATCTCCTCCGCTGCCGAGATACGGTCAAATTGTAGCGAGCGACTTGTTTGCTTTTAGATTCACCCTTTTCGATTGCTTTTCGGGAACAACATCCTATCCTCCTCGAGGATTATTGGCTCTCCTTATTACGAGTTCGAGCTGATTTGTAAAGTTGAGATAAGAGTACAAATAGTTATATTCTCTTTGTCATTTTGGGGTTGGATAAGAAATCGTGTATCTTAAGAAAAAGTGTTATAATTCGTAGAATTCTTCTTTTTTCGAGATATAAACATTTTCTTTGTAAGAATATTTTTATTGGTTCCTGAAATTCTATAAATCTATTATATTTATATTTTGGAAAGAATTTTTTGGTACTAAATATTTGCGAAATATCTAGTGATAGAAAGGATAGCATATTGATTTACGAATCTTTCTCCAATGGAAAATGTATGTATTAAATTTTTTAAAAGCTTTCTCCGATTATTTCTTCGGTTACAAATCTTTCTACGAGATAAAATCTTCAATCTCTTAATAGCTCGAGCAGGAATTTTCTTTCGATCGCAGACATCTCGTAAATTCACCTGGAACTACCTTCGTTACACCGATCCGAGCATTTCCAATCATTACGAAACCATTCTCACCACTTTGGTCATTTGTTCTCTCGAAGGCAGATATATCTGAAAAGAAGAAAAGAAGAAAAGGAAAGAAGCGTGGGTTTCGAGCGTTATCGAAAGAGGAGGCGTTCGTGAACGTGAACGAATGGCCGATGCACGAAACATCGGGCCAGATTCGTGTAGATCATTATGGAATGGAAGCTAGAACAGCGAGGCGTCCGTTTTCCTCCGCTCGACAGACGGGCGCGAGCGTTCTACACGCCGCGTCATGTTGCGGAGGCGCTCCTACTAAGTCACGGGCCATTGTTCTAGTCGCCGTTTGATAGACGATCCTCGTTCGGTACACGACTGCTCGAGAGCACATGCGTCAGGGGTTAGACGATGATGAGCATCCCGTTGCCCTTTTCCGTTCCTCCTTTCGTGGTTCGAACGATTTTGTTATTCAAATAAGCGCGCACAGATATGGATCAGAGCGGCTTGGCCGCGTTTCGATCGAACGTTTCGAAAGAAAGCTGGAGATCGGTTTCGATCCTCGGCCATCTGTACGCTTAACGTTCGTAAATTTGACTCGAGATTATAGATTTCCAGATCTAAACGAGAGCCGTGATTATAGTTTGAACGTATTGCAAAAATTTTTTAAATGTAAGGTGATGAGAGAAAATCATTTTTTGATAATTATAATTAGATTAATAAAGTTACGTATAATAAGATTAAATTTTAACTAGCGTATTCCATCGATTAAAGAAATTATTTTCTTATTTTTTATTTTATTATTATTTCTATTATTTAGATCGAAATGAGAGCCGTGGTTAAAGGTTGCAAAAATTTTTTAAATGTAAGATGATGAGAGAAAATCATTTTTTGATAATTATAATTAGATTAATAAAGTTACGTATGTTAAGATTAAATTTTAACTATTCCATCGATTAAAGAAATTATTTTCTTATTTCTTATTTTATTATTATTTCTATTATTCAGATTGAAACAAGAGCCGTGGTTAAAGGTTGAATTGTTGCAAAAATTTTTTAAATATAAGGTGATGAGAGAAAATCATTTTTTGATAATTATAATTAGATTAATAAAGTTACGTATGTTAAGATTAAATTTTAACTAGCGNNNNTTCCATCGATTAAAGAAATTATTTTCTTATTTCTTATTTTATTATTATTTCTATTATTCAGATCGAAACGAGAGCCGTGGTTAAAGGTTGAATTGTTGCAAAAATTTTTGAAATGTAAGGTGATGAGAGAAAATCATTTTTTGATAATTATAATTAGATTATTAAAGTTACATATAATAAAGTTAAAGTTTAACTAGCGTATTTCATCGATTTATTGGAGAATGTAATAGTAAAAAAAGAAATTATTTTAATATCGTAAAAGTACGGGTAACTGATCTTTAAATTCGAATCGATCTTTTACGCTATCGTAGTACTTGTCGATACTTGTAGACGTTTCAATAGAACATTTCTTAGTTAACGCTCCATGGCTGAGAGCCAGCAATTTTTTTAATAACCAGTTTCATAATTCATGAAACGTGATCTTCTATTTGAATATTTCCATACTGCTGCAGTATGAAATCCAACAATAGGTTCGGCACGTTCGTGAATTTACGACTACTTGTGCAAATTCTATTGAAAATAACCAAATCTTACGAAATTCGATCGATTGATTAAAACAGCTCATATTTTCCTCGAAAAATTCCTATAATCCTATTCCTACTTGAAAAACTCCTATAATCCTATTATCCACCAAATATTCGTCGTTATCAACAGTCTGTTTAACAACAAATGATACGAATATACGCTCGATTTCAATTCCTAGAATTCAATATTTACCAGATTATATACAAATATATATACAAACGACGAACACAAAGTTTAATCCTTTGTTTATAATATTTGGAACGCGCGTGTTCGTACAAGTTGTTGCGTAGTCGAAATATCATTTCTCCTTCGACGCGATCCACGATCGCACGTATCCCGTGTATTTAAGAAACTCGATTAATTATTATCCATTTTACAAATTATCGTATCAACTTTCACTAAATTTCGTGATCGAAGGACGTATTATCATCACACCTCGTGATACTCTTTCTTTATTTAATTCCTCTCGTGTTTCGGTGAAAACAAGAAAAATCTTGGAAAGGAATAAAAAGAATTGAGAATTGGAAAAATCCCTCGGGTGGTCCTCTTTAACGGCCTGCTACCAGACGAGTGGGTGGTGGTGGTCTTGCCTCGGTAACGTGGGGTGAACGTGGCGTTCCCTGGATGCGGTTCGACGGACGTGTTGCTGTATGCGTGAACGCGCGTGTCGGACTTGAGCGCACGGACTTGTGGCACCCAATGAGTTTAAATCATGGGAGGAAGGCTTGGCTTGGGGTTAAATCATAGAGGAGTAGCAGGAAGCCGCGAAGGAGCTGAGGGAAGAGAAGGCGAGGAAGCTCGGATCGTCGAGCAATTCGTTTCGAACGATCGGTGGATAAGGGCAAGTGTTTTCCCCCCCTTTAAAGGGGGGTTATAGTGTTTTGGCCGCCTGTGTTTCGCATCGACGATGCGATATATCTCGCATTAGAGGGATTTATAATGGTGGATGGAGCGACGATCATAGTTACGGGGGTGCAACGACTGCTGTTAACGCCGTGTTTCTTGCCCAAGCATGAAGGGTTTGACACGAGGGTTCGAGTTAATGTGATTGAGATTAGAAGAGTATTGGATTAAGGATAAGAAGGGTTTGAGAACTCTCAGAGTTCGTTGGGATTAAAGGTGGATTACGTTGAGTTTAGATGGAAGATAGGATTCTTCTTCCCATGTTTTTTGGTTCCCAGGTTTTGGTGGTAAGTGATGATTTAATATTGTTGAAGAGTAATTGATTATGTTGAATTTTCTTTGTTGTACGTTTTTAAAGTAAGATCCATTCACGAGGAGGAACAAGATATGAGATAAACTTTTTTGTAGATAATATAATATATTCGTAATTTGCATAGAATTTCGATACGTTTTTAGTGACACGTCGTTAATTTTTTTTTATATTAAGACAGGAATTAGAATTGAGATTAAAAAAAAGAGAAGTCAGAGTCAGGCAGGGTCGAAATTGAACAATTTAAAATTGAATATTGAATAAAATTATAGGTTGACAAACGATTCATTTATTATTATTATTTTTATACAAGAAACAGTATTATTTGTTATAATTTTTCAAAATCAATTGCGCAAGAGGACACTTCATTACGATTATTACGATCTTGGGAAAAATTAATATTGATTTATTGAACTAATTTCGTACAATTTTTCATTCCAGATCAAATTGAATCGACTGTGAACTCCACAAAAACTTTGTCCCTTATCCCAACCAACTCGGACGTTTCCGGCGAGCTCTCTTGTTAATCCTAACAAATCGAATTCAACCGTCTCGAAGGCACGAGCACCGTGGAAAAAGAAGCGGGAAACACGATGATAGCGAAACGATGCAGGGAGGAAGGGAAAGAGCGCGTGTGTAAGTTGGCGCGGTGCAGACAGGGACACGCGGAAGAGGAGGAACGCGGAAAAAAGAAAAAAAAAAGGAAATAATAAAGCCAGCCTCGAGTCGATGCCAGGTGCCTGGACGGCTGGCGTAAGAACGCGTCCAAAAGCAGTGCGTGTCATTAGAGAGCGTGAAAGACGTGACAAATGACAGTCTGTCTCGTCTTGAATGCGCATTGGCGCCCCCTATCGTTGCCACTCGTTTGTTTGCGGTCCACACATTGTCGTGCGACCTGAGAAAGGCCGGGCAAAAACGTACTTCCACTTCTTCCACTTTATCGTTGGAACCTCCGCCGTTGCTGCGACCTCCTCCTCTCCTTCCACGTGCCACGCTGCGCGTATATATACGTGTGAGAATGTGATTCGCCATGGATCCTTGGGGATGTTTTGACGCCCGGTTGACGAGCGATTGTCCCTTCTCTCTGCCTTCCTGTAGCGCGTTTTTTCTCTCTCTCTCCCCCTCCTTCCTCTTCTTTATCGTCACGAGGACGGATCCTTCTCCACCTTTCGAGTGGCACTTCCCGATTAACGAGCACACTTTTTCTCAACGTTCTCGCCCCTGGATGGACTCCTTGGAATATAAATCGACGCGAGGGGGAGTCGTTTCCAATCCTGGAAAAGAGATCCATGCAACGATAGATCCAATCCAAAATGTTTCGTTCGCACGAATTTCATTATCCGCCATACACCAGGATATATTTCATCCACCACTCACCCCCCACTGACCACGCATTCCAACAAGAAACCATTCCCCTCAACGTAACTTCATCGCCCCCTCCCTCTGCAATTGACAACACAGCCACGAACGGGCCGATACAATGGCGCGATAACGGAGGTTTACCGTGATATAATAAAGTCGGCCGCGAGCAACGTCCACGTTGGTGGCCATCGGCGTTAACATTTAACAACGACCGATCCGATCCGATCCGATGAATGG